TCCTAATCTGAGTGTTGATTATGTAGGTGTTTACTTTGAAAGTTCATCAAGCTGTATACTTAGGCTTTCTGTACTTTTCTATGTGTATGTTATCCTATATAATAAAAGCCTAATATGCAAATCGACCTAATGGCGGAACTACCGGTCGCTATGACATGCACTGACCACCAGGGGGCAGATGCTCAACGCAGGAGCTACCCCCAGCCCGCAGGCCCTAGGCCAGCCAAGGTGGGTGCTAGTGGGGGGGCCCCCCGTCACCCCGTAGAGGGAGGCGACTGGTGGCCGTGGGGCGATCAGGGGGCGGGGCTGGCCGGTGAGCGGGCCGGCACCGCCCCCCCCAATTGCCCTGCTATTCGCCTCCAAGGCAGGTGCCAGCGGGGGGCCCCCCCGATTGCCCTGCCGGTCACCCCACAGATCAGCCGTGATCGCTGGCCAGACCTAAGGACCCTACCCGTGCATGAGTTTCGTGCACCAGGCCTCTAGTAGTTTAATAACAATTTTAAAGAAAGGCCTAACACTTTCCTTTGTGATTAGCAGGATATAAATTATAAATCAATATCTACAAGAATTTTGTAATTCTAAAAATAAACTGAATTATATTTTCTATTTTCCCCTCCTTTTTCTTTTCAATACTCATATTGAAGACTTTGAAGGTTATGCAGTGAGAATTTTACATGACCTTAATTCAGAAGTTCGGACTCTAAAGGTATCACTCCTATAATATTTATCATTTTAAAAATATAAATAAACTTAGTAAAAAGTTAGAGAAACTATAATGTACTTTCTTTCCTCCTAAAAGGGTAATGTCAATATTCTTCTTGATAAAGCAAGTTTGGAAAGTCAAGAAAGCATTGGTTTCATAAAGGCAACAAAAGTACTGATGAAAAAAACCTCAGTGGATATTATAAAAATAAGAGAGCTTTTCCAGAAGTATGGATATAATCCACGGGCCAAGAAAAATTCAGGTATGGATAACTTGTATTTTATAGGGTTTGTTTAGTATCAAAGAGGGCAGCATGATTCAGTAAGACTATTTTGGCTTTGCTGTGGTTTCTAGTTCTTGCTCTGCCATTATGTGACCATCATTTTATCATTTTTTCAATAACCACTGTGTGTTGTCCTTTCTAAATGCTAGATAAGAACTAACACAATGTTAGATGAAAGAACAGATACGTTGATTTACTTCAGCATAGTTGGTTTCTAGTCAGCTCTGCTAATAAATGAGACTGACCTTCGGGCATGCCCCCCCACCCTTTTTTTTTTATCTCAAGTTCCTCTTCTGTAGAATGAGAGATTTTTGCCTATATAAAATGACAAAGACCTTTTCAGTTTTAAAATTCTAATAAAGAGTAGTATAGCATAGTGGTTTTAAATTCAGAGCCAAACTGCCTGAGTTCAAATCTCTGATTCCACCACTTAACCAGATGCATTGTCTTTGACCAGTTCCTCAACCTCTTATCTCGGTTTCTCATTCACAAAATGGAGATGTTTAATAGTCTCTACCTCTCAGATTGTATTAGGATTAAATAAGATAAAGTTTACTTAGAACAGTATCTGGCATGTTAATTTCAAGGTGTTAACTGTTGTTACTGTTGTGTCCATACCTTTGTTTGACCAATTTGAGCTTCAGTGTCCTCATTTCCATTATGAGAGTGATCTTTGTACATAAATAAAGCATTAATTAAGTTCAACAAATATGTACTGAAGATTTTTGTGAAAGGTATATTAAACAGTCCACAAGGTGTAAAAGAAACAATTCAATTGACTTTGGTGTGTACAAGCTATGGATTCAAATACTGACTCCACCATCTACACACACTACTACATGTGTGACTAGACAATTTTTTCAAATTGCTTTTCCCTCACTTGTGAAATAGGGATGATCATGGTGATGATTTTATTTTATTAATCTCATCAATGACAGCCTTGTGATAAGCGCAACAAGAGGTTTTTGGTAGTCGTAACATTTTTCAGAATTAATAGAAAAGCATAATGTCAAAACAGAACTCTGTTTGGATCCAGGCGATTCTGATAAGGATTTCCACCAGTATCTCATAGATCCTAATTGAACTATAGACCTTCCTTTAAAAGATGAAGTAAAAGGCCCGTCGGGCGTGGCTCAGTGGTTGAGCGTTGACCTATGAACCAGGAGGCCATGGTTTGATTCCCGGTTGGGGCAAATGCCCAGGTTGCAGGCTTGGTTCCCGGTGTGGGGCGTGCAGGAGGCAGCCAATTGATGATTCTCTTTCATCATTGATGTTTCTCTCTCTCCCTCTCCCTTCTTCTCTGAAATCAATAAAAATATATTAAAAAAAAAAAAAAGATGGAGTGAACAGAAACAAAAGTACTTGGGCCCTAGCCAGTTTGGCTCAGTGGATAGAGTATCAGTCTGCGGACTTAAGGGTCCCAGGTTCAATTTTGGCCAAGGGCACGTACCTCAGTTGCAGGCTCGATCATGTGGAGGCAACCAAGGATGTGTCTCTTTCACATCAATGTTTCTCTCTCTCTCTCTCTCTCTCTCTCTCTCTCTCTCTCTCTCTCTCTCTCTCCCCCTCCCCCTCCCTCTCTTTCTCTAAAAATCAATGGAAAAATATCCTCTGGTGAGGATTAACAACAAGAAAGGACTTGGGCCCTAACCGGTTTGGCTCAGTGGATAGAGTGTCGGCCTGCAGACTCAAGGGTCCCAGGTTCGATTCTGGTCAAGGGCATGTACCTTGGTTGCGGGCACATACCCAGTAGGGAGTGTGCAGGTGGCAGCTGATCTATGTTTCTCCCTCATCGATGTTTCTAACTCTCTATCCCTCTCCCTTCCTCTCTGTAAAAAAATCAATAAAAATATATTTTAAAAAAAGGACTTGGCACTGAAGGTGCCGTCCTGGATCTTTTAACTCCAACTTTAGTTCCACACGAAATTCATTCATCAGTAGTGTACCCAGGAAATGACAAAGGACTATAGGGAAAAGTATAGTTGTTAGTCAGTTATTTAATCTGAAGTGTAGTGGTTAAATGTTAAGGTGTAGAGCTAGACGTAACCCTATTAAAGGTTGAGGAATGGCATATCTTTCTAATGCTGTCCTGTTATTTCTCTAGGCTTTTTAAAAATAAATAAATTTTTTTATTGCTTTCAGAGAGGGAGAGAGAGATAGAAACACCAATGATGAGAGAGAATCAATGATCGGCTGCCTCCTGCATGTGCCTCACTGGGGATAGAGCCCACAACCCGGGCATATGCCCTGACCAGTAATGGAACCGTGACCTCCTGGTTCATAGGTCGATGCTCAACCATTGAGCCACCTCGGCTAGGCTCTCACTAGGGTTTTGATTCTTGTGTTTCAGGCTGACAGGATAAAAATTTATTTTTGTATAACAGTCTTTCCTTTTTATGCATCTGTAAGTTAAATATTTAAATTAATATTTTTATACTTTATGTTGAATCTAGATTGTAGTTAATTCCACACTGTAATTGCTGTCATTAAATGATAAAATAGTTTCACAATATATTAAGAACTGATAAATTACATTAACTGGGGAAGGAAATTGGACTTATATTTGTAGGTATTGATTTTTCATCTTTTAATACTTTAGTTTACTTCCTTTCTCTAATATGTCATCAAAATGGGATATGGGTGGACAAGAGGTGCATATCAGAAATTTACTAAAGTTACAATTAGAATATAACCTTAGAGACTGAGGACAGAATCAGGACTTTTACTGATTAAGGACATTTCAAATGAAACTGTTTTATGTGGTTTTAGTACTTGAGATTTCCTGATTTGATGTTTAAATACAATATGACCTTTTCTCCCAGAGGGTGAGCAAGAAGCCATTGACTCTAAACCAGAGTCCACTAGAGATGAAAACCTTCAAAAGCCTGATGTAAAGGATGATATGTCTAATCCTGTTGTTCCAAGCAGCTCTGTTTCTGAGAAGATTCCATGTAGTCCACAACTTTCAGATTTTGGACTTGAACGGTACCTGATATCGCAAATTCCACCAAACCCTCCACAGGCAGTAAATAATCATAAGAAAGAGCGAAACATGTTAACTCCATCTTCCAAACAGTCACCAGTTGAAGTACTAAAAACTCCTAAATGTGCACTAAATATGGATGATTTTGAGTGTGTGACTCCTAAATTAGAGCACTTCGGTATCTCTGAATATACTGTGTGTTTGAATGAAGATTACACAATGGGACTTAAAAATGTGAAGAATAAAAGGTAAGCAGCTTTCTTAAAAGGTACAGCTTATCTAACTTCCTATATCTTTTGTATTTATTGATTTTTTTCCTAGAAGTATGATGTTTCGGACTGAGGTTTTCAGATACTTCTTATTTCAAACTTCCCTGAATCACCAACTCTAAGTAAAGTGTGAGCTGTAGATTTTTTCAGGTTAGATGCTATAAAAGGAGTGATACTGGCCTGAAAAAAAAAGGTGTTTGGTAAGATAGAGAAAGAAGAAGAAAATTAAAGGATTGCCCTGGCTGGTGTGTTCAGTGGTTAGACCCAAAGGCTCTCAGGTTCAATTACCTCGGTTGCAGGTTCCATCCCTGGCTGGGTTGGGGCGTGTACGGAAGGCAACCCATGAGTGTCTTTCACATCGATGTTTTTTCCTTCCTCCCTCCCTCTCTCCCGCTCTAAAAATCTATGGAAAAAATATCCTTGAATGAGGATTAACAAAAAAGTATGTGTGTGTAAGTAAAGCTACAGTAAGTAAAACAGTATAAAACTGTCACAGAATAGACCTATAACTGGGACAAAATTGCCCAGAAACAGATTAATTTATATCAGTGGGCCGAACCGGTTTGGCTCAGTGGATAGAGCGTCGGCCTGCGGACTCAGGGGTCCCGGGTTCGATTCCGGTCAGGGGCATGTACCTTGGTTGCGGGCACGTTCCCAGTGGGGAGCGTGCAGGAGGCAGCTGATCGATCTCTCTCATCGATGTTTCTAACTCTCTGTCCCTCTTCCTTCTTCTCTGTAAAAAATCAATCAAATATATTTAAAAAAAAAAAATTTATATCAGTGGTTCTCAACCTTCCTAATGTCGCGACCCTTTAATACAGTTCCTCATGTTGTGGTGACCCCCAACCATAAAATTATTTTCGTTGCTAATTCATAACTGTAATTTTGCTACTGTTATGAATCGTAATGTAAATATCTGATATGCAGGATGTATTTTCATTGTTACAAATTGAACATAATTAAAGCATAGTGATTAATCACAAAAACAATATGTAATTATATATGTGTTTTCCAATGGTCTTAGGCGACCCCTGTGAAAGGGTCGTTCGACCCCCAAAGGGGTCGTGACCCACAGGTTGAGAGCCGCTGATTTATATAATGAGTTGAACTTATTATGGCTTTCCTTTAAGTCAGAGATTCTTAATCTACTTCTAAGTCAAAACTATCAATACAAAATGGTTCTTAAGCTTTTTTGAGCCATGTTTCCACTTTTTTTTTCTTCTTGATTTCAGAGAGAGGAAGGGAACAGAAGGGACAGCCACACACACACACACACACACACACACACACACACACAGGGGATTGAGCCATAAGCCTGGCATGTGTTCTGACTGGGAATCAAACCTCAACCTCCTGGTTCATGGGTTGATGCTCAACCACTGATCTACACCACTGGGCTATACTTTTTTTTTTTTTTTTTTTAATGTATTTTTATTTTAGAGAGGAAGGGAGAGGAATAGAGAAACATCAATGATGAGAAAAAATCATGGATCAACTGCCTCTTGCACACCCCCTACTGGGGATAGAGCCCATAACCCTGGCATGTGCCCTGAGAATCGAATCATTACCTCCTGGTTCATAGGTCGATGCTCAACCTCAGCCATACCAGCCGGGCTGGGCTATACATTTTTTTTTTTTTAAACACACAATTCTTTTAGCCCTGGCCGGTGTTGTTCAGTGGTTCAAGCATCAGCCTCCACACTAAGGGGTCCCAGATTCTATTCCGATTACTAGTCAAAGGCACCTACCTGGGTTGTGGGCTCACTCCCTGTACCCAGTCTGGGTGCATGCAGGAGGCAACCAATCTATATGTCTTTCTCTGTCTCCCTCCCTTCCTTCTACTCTTTCTGAAAAAGCAATGGAAAAATATCCTCTGGTGAGGATTAACAAAATAAGTAAATAACAATAAATAAAAATAATTCTTTTAAAGAGAGAGAAACATCAATCAGTTGCCTCAAACTCACAACCTGGGTATGTGCCCTGACCAGGAATCAAACCTGCACTGCTACCTTTTGGTGTACACAATGACACCCCAACCAACTGAGTCATAAAATAGGAGTGAATATTCCTCCAGGCTTGATGATTTATTGTAAGATTAAATTTTCCCAGAGGTTTAATATTAACTTTTTTTTATCTTATAATTTCCCTATTAATCATGCCAGTGAGGAAGCTGTAGAAATAGAACCAGTGTCCAGTAATAGCACCACTGCTAGCCTCGTAAACCAGCAATTGGAAAAAAATGGTAAGTGTGAAAATCAAGTTACTTCTCAGCTATACTCTTTCCAGATGATCTTTGTACAAAAATGATGCACCACATACATATTCTAATAGCCTTCTGCATCTTTTCAGTTGGTGACATCCAGTTCTGTTAAGTACCACCATTCATTTCATTCACGTTCAGCATGATTTCATACGAGAGAAAGATAAAATTTTCTTTCTTTTTTACTCTTCTTTGTTATATTCAGTATTTGTCAGTTTGTTTTTAACATTTTAACTTAAAGCATATAAATATACATTCATTCACCAATTTTTTGATATAGAGCCAATAGCACCCTTTTTAAATTTAGCCTCAGCCTATTGATTAGAGTTCTACATTATCTTATATAAACTACACTAGGAATACATCAGCTACCATTCAAATTTTTTTTAAAGAGTACAAGAACTTAAAGAAAATTTCATGTAGTTTTCTCATATTTGTCCCAGCAAACTGAAAACACTGGTTTTCATGAAAATATAAAATAAAAAAATTCTAGTTTTATGATTTCTTTGAATAATTATTTATACTTGTCTGATCTATACCAAATTTATTGGCAAATCTTTTAAAGTAACTTGTCTTTATGAAGTCTTTCCAGAGTTTTAGACATTATTTTCAGAAATATTCTCTTTACTAATTTCACTAACTTGTTATTAAATTAACAAGTACCTCTGGCATAAACAGGTGTAACAAAATGCAACTCATTCATAGTAAGCTTAGAACTCAACTTATAAGAAAAAACAAGACTATATTAAAGAGTAGCTTATTTTTTTAAAAAGGAGAGAAATTGGACCACTACCTTCCATCATACTCAGAAATCACTTCCCAGTGGACCATAATAAGGGAGACTATCTTTTAAGACTTCCTGACTGAAATCCTTCAGTGGGCCATCAGCAGTATCCTATATAATACAAAGCTTAATATGCTAAGTGTCTGGTCATCTGGTCAGTCATTCAACCAATCAAAGTGTAATATGCTAATGATATGCTAAGGCCACTCAGCCGCTCACTATGATGTGCACTGACCACCAGGGGGCAGATGCTCTGACAGGTAGGTTAGCTTGCTGCTGGGGTCTGGCCAATCAGGACAGCGAGACTGGCTGGACACGCCCTGGAGCCCTCCCACGGTCCCTCGCCTGCTGGCCAACCTCCCACGTCCCTCCCCGGCCCCAATCGTCCACCACTGGGGTCCCTCGGCCTGGCCTGCGCCCTCTTGCAATCCAGGCTGAGGGAACCCCCCCCCCCCCCCAGCCAGTGTACGAATTTTGTGCACCGGGCCTCTAGTCTTATGAAAAGAATCGAAAGCTTACGTTTACCCATTAGTAATTTGGTTAAGTGGAGGCTTATTAAGAGAGTTTATGTTGTATTTTTGTTTGACCCTATTTCTATGCCACAAAAGCTATTAAAATTTTTATAGTCTGTACTTATTAAAATTTAGTAATTTCTTTACCTTTTTTTGTATGTTTGCCATTGCTTCTTATAGTTCACTCATTCCTTCTGGGTTTAGTTTTCTGGTTAAAGTACTGCCTTTAGCAGTTCTTTCAGAGATGGTCTATTTTGTGTTAAGTAATCACTAGTTCTGGATGACCCCCATGGGGATAGAGCCTGAGACCAGGGCATGTGCCCTGACCAGGAATTGAACCAGTGACCTCTTGGTGCATGGGTCGACACTCAACCACTAAGCCACACCAGCTGGGCTTTCACTCATTCTTGAATGATAATTTAACACGATATAGGTGACCAAATCAACATATGTCTTTCTTCAGTATTTTAAAGAAATTATTCCATGTGACCTGGTATCTTGCTGATGAGCAGAGGGCTATTGGTCTGATTAGCTTTTCTTTATAGAAAATCTCTTCCTTTTGGTAGCCTATAAGTTTTTATCTTTATCTTTGACATTCTTCATTTCTCTATAGTATGTTTGTTTTCATGTATTATGTTTATAATTTGGGATGATTTTTTAAACTAAGGACTCATCTAAGTCTGGAAAATACTGACATTATCTCTTTTTTTTTTTTAATATTGTTATTTTATTTTTTTTATTTTTATTTTTTTTCGCTAAAAGTATTACAAAGGGTATTACATAAGTGTCCTTTTTTCCCCCCCACCCTTGACAAGCCCCTGCCCTCCCTTACCCCCCAGTGTCTTATGTCCATTAGTTATGGTTATATGGATGCATACAAGTCCTTCGGTTGATCTCTTACTCCCCTCCCTTCTGTCCCCCAACCCTCCCTGGCCTTCCCACTGCAGTCCGACAATCAGTTTGAGGCAGCTCTGCCACTGTATTTATTATTGTTCAAAAGTTTGTAATGGTCTTAATTATCCATGAAAGAGTGAGATCATGTGGTATTTTTCCTTCATTGACTGGGCTTGTTTCACTTAGCATAATGCTCTCCAGTTCCATCCCTGCCGTTGGAGTGGAGGAGAGGTTCCGACTTTTTAACAGCAGCATATATTCTATCCGTGTAGATGTACACACTTTTTTAATCCATTCATCTACTGGTGGGGCGTGAGGGAGGAGAACGAGCTTAGCTATTTTGATTTGTGCTCCTCCAACATCATCTCCCATCTTCCCTTCGGATTCGGGTGCGGGGGTGGGGGGGGA